GATAATATTATATAGCTTTGAGTGAAAAGATCATTCAAAATGTTTTAACAGCGGGCGCAAGATATTTACATACACCTAACTCTCGCAACCTGTAGGCAATTACCGAGAGACTTTGCAAAATCCCCAGACACTTTCCTAGACACTCCAGTGACCGTTGTAGACGCAATAAAGTTAAATACCCGCTCACATGCAGTTATCATAAACACTTTACAAAATGTGTGCCAAGTGAAAACACTTTTTATTACATATTTCTGGTGAAAACACTTTACATAATGTGTTACATGCAAAAACCACCGAAATATTTTTCATCACGTACACTTTTCATAATTATGCAGATTATAAACACTTTAAGTGTTTTTAAAGTGGGGACAAACTTATAAACACTTTGAAATGTTATCGAATGTAACATTTTACTACATTTGTGGTTGATGAACGTTATTAGATCCATGGTTGCTATTACATTTGTAGGTTCTCGCATTGTTGTTTATGTTTTAGCTTCTTAATCCATTTACCTATGAAATTCAAACTTTCTGTATTCAGATTCGTTTAGAATCCGATCATTTACCTTTAGAATGTATTATAAATAATTTCCAACAGTCTAACAATGTAAATATTAGAGAGATCTAAAAAATCTGCCGACCCCGACTCATTAGAAATTGAATGAAATTAGTGGAGAAAATATTTCACGTTGTAGCTAAGGAGTGTAACACATTCATAACATTCAATGGACGTTTCCTAGCATAAACATACAAAATGTGTGATTTAAATGTACGCTAAAGGCATTTTTTTATTCACTGGGTTTTAATTGCGCTATTTTCAATAAATCAAACTCGCTAAATTAAATATACTTGAACATGTAGAATAACAATAGAATTCATTGTTTTCCTGGAAAATTCGTGAACTTGCTCAAAACATCAAAATAGTGAAATTAAATGTCCGTAAATAAAAAGGTTTTAAGATGAAATATGTTCAATATAGGCTATTGTGACAATTTCGTATTTTTAGCAGAGATACAGAAAACCTAAAAGAATTGATTCACACTAAAAATAAATTCAAATCCATTTGTCATCTTAAAAAAAAAAATTTTTGAAAATGAATGAAATAATCCAGTTATTTGTTTACCAAACCCGCATTTATTTTGGGAATCGCTCCGTAATCGAACTAGTACTTATACTTTTCGTTGCGTACATGTTTTCTCTGATCAATTGCAGCTGACTACCATTAAACACATTATCTCACTAAACCATTGAAGTATTGTTGTGTGATGATACATGCAAGTCATGATGGGATTGTTTAAAAAAATATTTGATACAATAATCCTGACGAACTTAATGAATCATTCTGAAATGTGGTGCTATCGACGTTTTGTGCATTTTCAGCGCATTTCTAAAAACACACCAAACGTCACTGTCCTTGTCCAATTTCTTCAGACCACTTGCAAGACGTTTTATCAAATATAGGCGCAATTATATAATTTTATTCCATCTCACTGTTATTCTAGTAAATCCTACAATTTTTTTTAAATATTGAACTGAACATGTTCAAAACATGTTGTAATTACTAGTATTTAAAAGATGCGTGGGATTTACAGCAAGAAACCAGTGTCAGTGTTTTTCGCCCATAGATCTATACATTTGTTCTATATTCTGATCGGTGCGGTGAAATCTCATCCATTGATGAATTAACGACATGTACATATAGAAGTTTTAAAACAAACTTGGATGAATGGGTTTATTATTTTTACTATAAACAAGATAAATCAACATTTTGCAAGACTCGGGTAGGTAAATAAATAAATCACCACAAAATAGACAAACCTGAAATGAGCTGCACATGATGAGGATCACGGAAACAGTTCTCTGGAACTAGTCTAGTCTGTGTTCAAATCCAGAGCGATACTTAATAGTTACCAACATGCATGTCCATCGTGGTATGTTTTCAAGACTGCGCTGCTCCTGTCATGTATTTTGCATAGAATCTGACAGGAGAAATGATATAGCAAGCAAGACATGAACGTACATGTTTACTGTGTGATTCACGAGATATTGAGGACAAATATCATTTTGTTTTAATTTGTTCATTTTTAGAAGCAAATACATCCTAACTTATCATTATAACCACACATTGTATTAAAATTTTACTTTACTTTAAAAAAAAATCATTTGTCTACCCAGCTTTACAATTAAGAAATGACTTTAACAATGATACTGTTTGACCATTGTTATGCTTTGTTTGTATATTATATAATTTTTTTGTATTTCGGGCCACAGAATGTATAGAACAATAAAAACAGAAATCGATCGTGAATAGTCCAAAAATATAAATAAATTTATTAAATAAACAAAGACTTACAAAGTATCACCTCTGTGAGCAAATTTGATATGCTATATTGAAGTGGCGATGAAAAGGGGGAATGTTAGAACTTAGTCGCTGGTGGCGATGTCGAGTAACGGCCGTTAGTTCACAGATCCGCAGAGGTTAGTTCTAACCTGTCGCATTTGCCAAATACCAAACCACGTTCGTCGTAGTTGCATATTTTTATGACAGTAAATATTGAAAAAATAATTAAAATTGCTGAATCACTATGATGAATTTACCATTAATGCAATTCTCATCAGTAAAGTCAGGGTCACCTGGCATTTAAAGAAAAATATTGACTAGCGATTTTCTGGTCTATGCCAAAATATGGAAAAATAAAAGAAAAGTGGTGCGTCGTCATGTCATTTTTTGAACGACTCCGGACCTGAAACAACTCATTTGTTTTTTCTGGTTTCAGTTCACATGTTTGATCTTCGTTCAACTTCAATCCTCGGGCTCCAATCCTACCTGTTCCCTACGTTCGATGTGGGTCTTACATTATAGCACAGTTACTCTCCTGGTAGAGTGACTGTGATTATAGCGACTTACAAATTGTGTGAACATATATTGTTTGTTTACATACAGTCCCCCTAGCCCTCTATAGGGGGACTATGGTTTACACGAAATTCGAACACAGTAACTGCCAGTGTGTGTTTCTTCTTTTATATCTTAAATATCTTAATGTCTGGATCATTTCTGATACATTTTTCTGAAACTTCTAATGCAATAATAATTACTATTATCTTTACTTTATATCCACTAATTATTAATTATTGCCTGAATTGTTCTTATTAAACATCACATTCAAAAAATGTGCATCGATTTAACCAAATGCATACATTAATTACCTAGTTCGATTGTTTCTAGTGCTAACAAAATAAAGTTATGTTCTATCGGGTCATGTATTATTCCAGCCGTAGTTAGAATTGTTTGTTTTTGTCCAAATGAAGCGCCCTTGGTCACATTGATCGGAATTGTCCTGGGCATTTCTCATTCAAAACATTTTAATGCAGATTTCAACTGGTTGCGGAGAATCCCCACCCAGAATTTGAGGTATTTAACTGCTATAATCCTTGCATCACAACCATGTGGCGTGTATCTTAGCAACCGTGGAAACACGCAGCCTGCCGCGTCATCAGCGTCTTTTGTACATTTCACAGGTCATTCACACAACTGGAAGTGTTAAATGGTGTTTTCAATAGTCGAACTAGTAAAACAATCACAATAGTGGTACTGCCTGTCATCTAAATAAACGAACATTGGTACTTCCTGAAAATGTAATCAATATATTGTGTCAAATCACAGTCCCTCTATCATAGATATCATAGATAGAGGGACTGTCGTCAAATACATCATGTTCGTTCATATTTTAATGATCGATGTCGCCAAGTATTAAATTTCGAAAGTGCTACAAATTCTTGAATTTTTGCTGAGTAAAAAGTCCATCACATAAATGAGAAAAAGTAAATACCCGAATTTGTTTTCATGGAAACAGTGGACAACTCTACTTTGGGCCCCAGACCCGGCCCTCGGACAACCAACCCAAAGTGTGAGTGTTGCCATAGACCTATTCATTGATGGACAGTTTGGATACATACATTTGATACTTACACTAGGTCGGGTAAAAATTTAGTTTTTTTAAACAGCCAGATACTAAGAATAATTTACACAAGTTTCACGTTTTTGTTCTCACGAAATCATCCAGCCCACCCCCGTTTCCAAATACTAGTACGAATTCCCGGTCCGGATTAGCCATCAAATATTGGCCTAGGGAGCCTTATTGTAACTCGTGACAGTCACGTGTTTCGAGTGCTTGTTTCATCTTGTGACAGTCATGTGACACGAATTGTTTTGTTTTACGCGACTGTTGGCATTTTTGTTAGGTTTTGTATTTTCTGATAGGTTTTGTTATTAACGCTTTTTTGTAGTGGAACAAAAGAATGTGATTGGTTAATGTGACATCGGAGGTGGCATGTTAATTCCCTGTTGCAAATCTCTGGCAAGCTAAGGATGCTTTATAGTGAAAGGTTTAGGTTACTTTCATGTCAAGCAGAAAACCCATGACGATTGAATTATATTCACATTTATTTTGATAAACAAGCAGCAGTCATCGACCAGGTAAGACAATCTGAGAAAGCTCCGAGTTTCGACAAATCCACCTAAAATATTTTTTTCATATTGCGCATTGATAATGATATATGACATGTTTGCCGGTCGGGCATTTGCTTCGTCTCCTGCAGCCGTTATCTCCAACAATATTATGGGGGATGTCAATGGCAACGTGCAAATGCCGCCCAGTGCAATTCGGGTCATCGTGCGGTCGCTGCGCAATTATACAGTACATTCTTCATTTATATGTTCGACCAGTACTAAATAACGTTTGGCATGATGGGCCATTTTATCGGACATCGTCATATAATATCTAACGTCATCAGAGAAACCACACACGCCTATCAAATCAACACGGATGATCTGATTGACCTACATATTTTCATTGCAGCAGAAATGCAAGAGAAGGTAATGGAACAGAGTTGCCGACAAGCACCAGCTTTAGCTGAAAACCCCGCGCCTCAAAAAGTGAGTGACATAGACCCAGATTTACCCTATTCAGTTATTATTTGTAATAATTGTTAGTAATAGTATATTTTTTATTTTACCTTTAATTTACAACATATAACAACTCTCAAAAGGATTGAAAAAGCAGTTACCAATGAGTACAAACAAATATCATATTACGCTAAATTTCCAGATGGCATGAATGATTTATTATATACTCATATATTTATATACTCTGACCTTGACCTTGTACTTTGGTTGTTGTGCTGTTTAAATTATGACAAGTCATGTTATTCCCTGTTGAACAGAAAATACAGCTTTTTATACCCTGATTGTTCTAAGTGATTTAATCATGTATAGTCGTTTTTTTTGCTCTTAAACTTGGTGACAGAAATTTTAACCTATTTTCAATGTAAAACCCATGTATATCAGCAGTGAGTCGCTGCTGTACTGAAGCACCGTGTTCAATCTTTGGAAATGCGCTGTCTGTGAGAGGGCTCATACCACTAATTGAATTTCCATAGACGACACTGTTAACATATGACGAGATTGCTATATGAAAATGATGAAGAAAGTTGAAAACATGGCCCAAAAATGGGAAATTAACATGCCAGTAATCAACCATATGAAAAAAACTAACATGTTGGCCAGCTCAAACTCTTACAAATCTCAGGTAAACAAGACACACCTACTGTATTTAGATTGCACCTAGAGAAATCACTGGAAAAACACCAAGATTAGAACATCCAAATACACACAGAATAAACCCACAAGTACACAGCCGCTAAGTAGTAAACAAGAGACCACATGTTGGTCTCACCTTTGACTCAGGTGATTAAGCCCTCAAACAGGGAGCACCTGAGAAAAAAAATATTTAAAAAATTTCATTGGTTCTTTCAAGGCATTTAAATTGAGGGCTACGAGCAGCCATTGGTTAATTAGTGGCATGAGACCTTAAGAGAAATAAGAAAGTTTAATAAAGTTCTTGTTGATCTTATATATGATGGAATATCATTAGACGAGTAATTTCCCATGCAAAAAAAATCCACAAAATTTAAACCCTGGGAGCAGCCATTGGTTAATTAGTGGCATGAGACCTGAGAGTGACTATGCATAGATGCACCACAACCCTATGGAAGCCGTGGTCGATTTCTCATTTTTTCTGCCTTCGTAAAGAATAACACAGGAGAGTAACTCTAGTTTAAATAGTATGTTTGTTTGCCAAAAAAATTATGTTCTTCAAGGTTTCCATCCACACACAATTCCTGGCATTTATTTACACAGAATAGTCAATGATCAGATTGTGTTTCACATTCGAATCTAAGAAACCAAAAAATTAGCTTGTGCATGTGATAATAATATTATACCCTGTGCTTATTAGTCCCCGTTCGGACGTAGTCCGAAAACGGGGACTTATGTTTTGCCCTGTGTGCGTCCGTCCGTCCATGCGTCTGTCCGTGATCACCTGTATCTCGAACATGAATGGACCGATTAAGTTCAAACTTCACTCATACATCACACATTATATGGGACATATGCACATGCATTTCTTTCATGATCCGATTAACTATAGCCGAATAGCGGCCATTTTAAGGCCGAAAATGCATCAAAATCGCACATTTTCACCATTCCGGACCCGGATCTCAGTTATGCATGGACGGATTTCGTTCAAATTTGGTACATACATTAAACATAATAGGACCTTGATGCACGTCATTTTTTTTTTCGGATCAAGT